TGTGTGTGTGTGTGTGTGTGTGTGTGTGTTTGTGTGTGTCCTGTACACAGTATTTCTCAAGTAGACGAATATATTGCTAGGAAATAGCAGACGGTTCATAATCCTAGTGTAACCCCATAAAATCTCCTCGGTTCGTAAACAGGTCACTATTGGTATTTTGCTTTCGACTGTATCGCCATAACACAATAGGGAATAGCAGAACCCAGCCCACGGAAAGATGTTCTGATCCAGACTATTGTGTTGTTTATCTAGGGTAAGCAGCAGAATATCTTTGAGATGGAAAAATGTCTAATGGTATCAGACACTCTCGAGTCGGGGGAATCCTGGGGAAGCTGGCTTACCAATCATGACCACAAGACCACGACACCGCGCAGAGACTGCCAGGGTCCACATTGTCATTCCTAGCTACTTCCTTTTGTCTCTCGCCACTCTCGAGATTTCTCGCAGGCGCACGCTAGACGTGGCTAGAAAGAATAGCCATCTCGCCAGCAGTTAGATTCTGCTTGCTACGCACTTTCTGAATACATATACTTGCCAAGGTTGAAGAGGTTCAGAGGAGTTTTCCGCTAAGCTTTTTCCCTGTCTTCGATTCGTTTCTTTTCAGTTTTTACTTATGTCCGTTCCTTTTGTTTCGGCGTTTCTATTTTACTTCCAATTTCTTCCACAACATTATACCGGGCGCATGAGGCAGACAAAAGCAAACGCCTTGAGCGAAGGAGCAGCATTGGAGGCACTGATTCAGGACGACTGTATCTCATAGCATTCCATCATCTATTGACAAGCCGATAGTTTATGGTCAGCTAATGGCTTACCTTTGACCTGTCTTAGATTTCGTTATTGCTTGGCGGTGTGGTCAATAGATTGGGCTGCGTCTTTTCACTTTTCTTACCAGTGCTCACGATTGAGGGAAACATGGATTCTTTTTTAAGGATGCGGAAACAAATCTTTCAAAGAAAGAAAAACTTGACTTGAGGAAAGACTGAAAGAAAAGAATAATATAATAATGAACACCCCCCCCCCCTTCCAAAAAAAGGGAAGTTTTTAGGGGACTGTAGAGTTACTTGGCGTTACCCAGTCCCCCAGCGCTTCTTAGATCTACACGGGGATTGTGCAGTTCCCAAGCCTTCCGCACTGGGGGACTGCAGAGAAGCAACCTTTGACCTATGGGTCGAAGTCAACAAGCCATCATCAATATT